ATCCAAACCATTCTATGATTCTATGAATAATTGCAGGATTGTATTCTGAATCAATTAGCAAAATCTTCCAATTCTGATTTCATTTCACTATGCTCTTTTGAGAGGGAAAAAAATCCACCTCTTTCAGTGGGAGTCTCACCATGGAAGACTCCCAAGCTTTGGCCCAATGTTGGTGAAGCAGCAAGACAACCACGGTTGATGTGGCTACAAAGCCAAGCGATTTCATGATTCCTATTCCAAACCCATGATATCAGACACTCTAAAATGCTAATCTTCCCAAGGACTGCTTGCTTCCTCCTTGTGTGCGTATATAATGCATATTGACATTAATGGGAGTTATGCACACGCATGCAGGGGGAATATAAATCCCCCCTGGATGAAGATCTCTTGAAAATAAGTTCTCAGTGAAAGGAACAGATTTCCCTGCTATGATTGGCAATCATATTCATCTTGTCGCTTTGATTAACTCATTGGAGGTTTGCCCAAATGGTAATTTTTGTCTATGGCTGCTTGTTTTCCAGTCCAGTTTAATCCATGTCTTTGCAGCAGGGTGTGGGTATTTGCCAGCCCAACCTGACAGTATCCAGGATCGTGAGATGCCAATTTCAATTTCACACCGTAGGCTCAGCGATGCTTTTCCATTTCATAAGTATTTCTACCACTAATAGACTCGCAATCAGCAAATTAGTGAAATAAGTGATGAGAAAAAGTAGAAAGGATTATCCTAGTGGGTCTGCTAGAATTATTTTTGTCAGTACAATTACCCTGGAAATTCTTTGCTAATATTGCAAATAACACAATCTATTCAGCAAGAGAATCACTTGCGCTGGGAAACAAATTACTTTTCCATCAGCCCTAACCCAGGATGACAGTGGCAGTTGTGCTCTCTGGCCTCCATCCAATTTCATTGTCTGATCCTTTACAGATTTAGTGCTGTAATAAAGGGCACTGCCATTGTAGTGCAACAACCGGGATGCTTTCAAGTACGAGCACTTTTTTAGAGAGCAGCTGCATCAGGATTAAACAGGATTGTGGAAGTGGGATTAGCCAGACAGAAAGCTCTCTTGAGGCTGCTGACTTCTGCAAACTGGGCTCCTAAATCTTTCTCTTTTTTTCTTTTTTTTTTTTCTCAAAATGATGTTTTCAGGTACACATTTGGTGTCCAAGGGAAGGAGGATGTTTAACATCAGGCTGGCTCCCCATACATCATCCCTCCTGCTCCTGACAGCCCAGCCCCTGAGGGTTTATTTCACCATTTCATTTCCACCCACACTTTTGTTGCACAGTGTTGTAACCAGTGCAAGGTCCTCGGTACAGAGCAGAGGTGGGTGGCTATGACAGGAAAGAGCTGGGAGATAGGAGGTGGGTGATCGATAGGTAGCAGAGCCGGAGAGCAGAGCACAGCAGTCAAGACAAATGGGTGGAGTGGGTCATATAGAAGATGGAAGAGAAGAAAACTATAATCCATTTAGCTAGATGAGGAAAGACAGATCAATAGATATGAACTGCAAAGCAGCAGGGACCAACTGAGGACAACTGTGTAACCGTTCTCACCTGGAGACATCACTCAGATTAATGTTCCCACCACTCAATACAATTCTTCCCAAAGGCAAAGTCACTCTCTCCCAAGCAGCCACAGGCTCCTCTCTCCACCATGTACATCCCATGGACCCATCTCAGCCTCCCCCATCCTCATTTCTCCCCCTGCTTCCCAGCAGCAGGAGGGATCCAGTGACTCAGCCCCATCACCCCAAAGCCACAATCCCAAGACCTTCACGACATGCTGAGAAAAGGCAGAAAATGCAAAACCCAGCCCAGCCCCACTCCCAACTTACATTTAAAGGCTTTAGGTGAGGTTTCGCTAGTCTGAATCTTTGGGGCAAGCATGCGTTTGCCAAAAACCTGAGCATCAAAACTTGCATAATCGAAGGTGACCTTGGAGTACTTCTCCAGCTCCTTGGCCAGGTTGGCCCGGGGGGTTGCTGGGACCATGTTGGGCCGGTAGCTTCCGTACTGAGGGATCTCCAGTTGCTTCACAAAGCACATAGGCCTGGGGATGAAACAATGAGCAACAGTGACTTCTCTTTTCCTTAACAAGATGGTTGTTGGGAGGGGACTGGATACTATAGGGACCTGTCACTGCACCTTGTCCCCAAGGGATTAGTGGGGAAGAGGAGGTGGCAACAGCCCTTTTGCTGTCCCTCGTCAAGCCTGCACCTGGTTTGGGTCTCTTAGATTCTTTTTAATCTTTTTTTCCTTTTTTTTTTTCCTCTTTTTAGACAAAACACCAAGATGTCGCTCTCATGCAAAACAATATTCTTACAGGCTGCTGTGGTGTGGCAACATTTTCCGACAGCAGCAGAAACTTGGGCATCACTGATGTATGGGACCTGTGACACAGGATGGCACATGAAGGTGTGAGGACCCCAGTTTAGCTCTACTTTTTCCTGTGGATTCATTGTAAAAGAACCAGAGTCTCTCTCCTGCCTGCAGAGCTCCTCTTAAAGACCCACTTCTGCCGGGCTGCCTATCATGAATCAATTTGTCTTGCATATAAATTGTATATAAATGGCCTATTGTTATTCTCCTTCCCATGACCTTTTTCCACCATCGAGTCCTCGGAGTAGGAGCTCCTTGGAGCATGGACCATCCTCGTGATGCACTCAGAGCGCTTTGCACCCGGCACAAATAAATAAGTAATCACCCTAAATGGCCTTTCCAAAGCAGCGAGCGCTGGTTGCACCAGGGTGCTCAGCAATCCTTGGGGAGCAAATAAATAACTGAATCAGATCTCGATGCCTTTGTGGGAGTGCTGCTCAGGGCTGGTACTGCGGCTTTTATCCCGCTCTCATTGCAAAATAACGAACCATATTACAATCCATCTGTAGCCTCATGAATCACATCAGCTACGGAAGCCAACATCTATCAGGGACACGTTTAATGGGAGTCAAACCCTTTCTCCTGGGAAGATAGAGATGGGCAAAATAACAAAATAAATGTGACTGGATTGGGAATGAGTGGCAGGTTTCTCTCCTTCGAATCGTGCGGGCTAAGGAAGAAAAGCGGATGGACTTATGCAAAACTGCCACGGAGTGATTTATATGTAGCTTAAATCTCCTCCTCCCCCTCCCCGAGCCCACCCTACTTATAATGCTAATATAATAGCCATCATTCTCTGGCAGTTTGCATTGCAGAGCCAGCAGCACAAATGTCTTCTGCTGCACCGGTAAAACCCTTTGGCCTGTAGCCTCAGCATTAATTGATGCTACAGAAGCAATTCATTGTCCTCAATGCCCTCCCTGGGATCATCAATTAAATATCTCCCCACCTTGGTCAGACCTATGATCATAATAACAGGACTCAGCAATATCAAGATACAAGCGTGACGGCTGCTCTTGGGAGCGTGGGATGGTGGGGAGGGCTGGGGCAGCGCGGTGACGCGGCACTGGGCTGCGCGGTCCCATTTACCTGAGTATCCGGTCAGAATTGGAGCTGGTCTTGGAAGGATCACCAGACTGGGTTTGTTGCTTTTCATGTGATTTGGCTAATTTTTCAGCAGCAGCAATGGGGCACCCAGATAAACTGTGGAAGTTTTGTTGGGTTTTTTTTAAAGAAGAAAACAAAAGAGAGAAGGAAACCAAGCGTGAGGGATGAGCATGAAAATCTTCATTTCCGGGACCCAGAGCTGCACTAAACCCATAAGAAAACTCTTTGCATTTAAAGGGTTGGGGGTTTGTTTGGGGTTTTTTTAATTATCATTATCTTGGTTTACTTTTAGTCTTGGCAAGCAGCAAAGTAGCTAAACGCCAAGTGCCAAATCTCTCTAGGATGAGCCCCAGAGCATCCCCAGGGCTCGGAGGTAGACCAAGGTGGTCCATCCTCAGAGCTGAGCCCAGCAGCGACAAAAGGGGATGGGGTGGTTTCCTCGAGTGGTTTTAGCAGTTAAATGGCACTTTTGATTTGTATTTATTTGGATCTTTTGCAGGGGCTGTTTGAAGGGAACCTTCTGAGGTACATTGCGGGGAAACATTTGCACTTCTGATGCACACAGCTTGGGGGCTGTAATGGCTTTTGCTGGCACGTGCCCTACGGGTGAGCCTAGTTTTGCCTCTTTGGGACAGCTTGGCTCTTAATTGCTCAACAAAGGTAAAATCCCTTCACAAGCAGAGCCCGAGAGCTCCCAGTTGACCCCAAGCCATCACGGGCACCTTCATCACCAGAGCAGCCAGTGCTGAGAGGTCCCCAGCCCATGTGACATGCAGAGCTCTGATCCTGCCAGGTCTCAGGACCTCCCCAAACTTCTGAGCCCAAAGCTCACTCCATACCTCACTAACACCCTTGGATTACCTCGATCTCACCACAAGTGCTTCCTGCCTGCACCAAACCCAGCTTCTCAACTAACCAACCAGATTTCCCTAGAATCACAGAGTCATGGAATGTTGTGAGTTTGAAGGGACCCACAAGGATCATGGAGTCCAACATGCATTGATGTTTGCAAAGCCATCACACTCTGCCAATTAAGCTCCCATGCAACAAATGGTAAATCATAAATCCACGAGCCCACCCCTGTAGCACAAGCTGGTCTGGCTTTTCAGAAGGTTTTTAACTTTTAAGTGCACCAACCCCTCCACTTGCAGCCTTCCCCTTTGTAAAAGTGCCCAAGTTTAACTGAAGCCAGAATCTGGGTTAAAATTACAGGACCCAAAGTGCAACCCTGTCCCCTCTTGACAACATCTGGGCTGAGGTCCTACAGCAGGAGAACCAAAGTTCCCAGCTTATCAATAATTTCAGCCTCAATATTGTGGAATTTCCTAGAAATCCTGCTAAGTTCCACACCACCAAACACAAACATCACCCACCAGTCAGCCTCATTGGATACCCTCTGCTTCTGTAGAGCCAAACATCTGTTCCATGAACCCCCACCAGCATCTACCCCTCCATAGTCCCACCTGCAAACCTAAAAGCGTTGCTCTGCTCTACTGCCCAGCCAGAAATCACTGTCCCAGCTTGCTTCCTCATATTATCCTTTGTCTTAGGGTCATGCCATCTTCACCTATCTGAGTTGCTCCATCTCTCAGTACAAAAGGAAACCCAAGGCTCTTGGGGATGGTTGCCCTGCCGCCCTCCTTGCCCTGGCCCTTATGGAGAAGAAGTTGAAGGTGGTACCTCCTGTGCGTGTTGCGGTTGCTGTTGACGTGACCCTGTCCTGTGCAGCCTGGCGTGGGGCATTTCAACACGTTCTCGTGCATGGCCAAGACTTCAGAGAGAGAAGAGGAAGGGTCAAGGGGGAGGGAAGCAAAAACAACTTGATAAAAATCAGAGGAAAAGAAAAAAAAGAAGACAAAATCATCAAGTCTGGTACGTTGGTTTCCTAGAAATCAGGGAACGTGAAATGCTGGAATTAGAGTTTGTCTGTGTAGAGAAAAAAAGCTTTCCAAGGCAGCAGTGCTCAGGTCAGCGCTCAGTTAACATCTCTGCACACAGCTTGGGCTTCCTCCTCGTTTGCTGATTGCAATCCAGTTCCCCCATCCAGCCCCCTCCTCCCCATCACCAGTCTGGAGCCAGGTCTCCCCATTTAAGGTAGTTTTAAGTGATTGAAGTTGTATCTCTGCTTTTATCCTTAGGACTAGTCTTTGTTTGATTTTTTTATTTTCTCTAATTTTAATCTTCAGGATTATTGCTTCCTGCAACGCTGACCTTAAAAGTAAAGAAAATAATTTGATTTGCGAGCTTTTCTAGAGCACGCAGCCTGCGTTAATTAGTTATTAATTTTTTTTTTATATTATTGGTTTTTTTGCATTCAAGCTTGTGTGAAGATATCTGCACTTTCTCCTTGTTTCCTGCAGTTCAGTGTTCATGGCAGGTCTGCAATCTTTGAAATTACTGATAAGGAAGGGCTCTGTTTTTTTTTTTTTTCCTTCCTTTTTTTAGTCTATTATGCCATTATCATAAACATACAACATTGATTTTTTTATGTATGTGCACAAGAAAAGCTATTTCGGATGCTGGTAGAGAGGTAGAAATAAAATATCTCTCTCTCTGTGTATATATATATGTGTATATATATATATATAAATCTGTTATTATGATGATAAGTATTTTCTGTGGAACAGATGAATCTCGATTATAGCACCTTGTGAATATTACAGTGATGAGAGTGTAGGAGGAGACTTGGCTGTCCTGCCCATCCTGAATGACTCCTTCACCATACAGCAACACCTTCAGCACATTGGGACAGCAGGAAAGAAGAGTTTCCCCTTCATCCCAACATGATATCCCAAATAGAGAAAAAGATGTGACATTCAATGTAAAGATGGGAAGAGCTTAACACATCTCTGGAGGTGGGTGGCATTTTTGAAGCACCTCTTTGATTTTTAGAGAAGGGACTTAATTCTCCACAGGATGGTGCTAAAAATCTTTAAGAAGGGTAGGACTTCCTAGTAATCTCTGTAGCGTTTCCCAAGAAGAACAAGAACACTTTGGTGGAAAGAAATAAACCAGAACAAGTTGGGAAAGCACCATCCCATACCAGAATTCCCATTATATGCCAAGGATTAACATCAGGTTTGTGCTAGGGATTTGGTCATAAAATTCACCCAATTTGTGACTATTTAAGTGCTCCTTGGCCTCGAGACAGCTCTACTCATTCAGTATGAAAATCCCCCTGGGAAATAAGGCTTCAGACTAACTTAAGCAAGCCTTGTTATCCCACCATGTACTCACTCTCAGGAGGGATCCTGTCTTTGTGCGGACAACCAGAGAGGCTGCGATGATGAGGGTAGAGTCCCGTGACGTGACCGGTCCCATCACAGCCAGGAGTTGGACATTTGATTTCTCGCTTCTCGGGTCTTGAGGGATCTAGAGATTGTGGGGAAAGGGTGGTGGGAAGCAGGTTAGCCAATTTGGAAGGGAAGGAGTAGAAAGGAGAGAAAAATTGCCAAGGATGATTCCCACCACTTTTCCAGTCAAGCAGGGAGAAAATATAATGTTTGAAAGTTTGTTAGTTTGTGGTTTTTTGTTTTGTTTTGTTTTTTCCCCCTTGGAAGTTTCAAAAATTAAAATCAGGAAAACAATTTGAGTGGCTAACCTGGCTGGGAGTGAGTAGTTGCCCCACCAACTGAGCAGGCAGCCCAGCTCAGTGCCTGGGGGACTCTGCAGCCCCTGCCAAGTCCCTCGTGTTCCCGTGGCCAGACTCTTACCACTACTTTAAAACCCACTTGAATTTTAAAACAGCCCTACTGACCAGGCTCAGATTTTCAAGACCAACAGGCCATTTAGCCAGGTCATTCCCCTGCTGAGATGTAGAGGACACTGGCATTTTGGACATTCACTGCTGAGCTCTAGGATGTCCCCAACTCTCTGAGCATTGAGGATTTGTGGCTAAATTCCCTCTGTGGGTAGTGAAACCCCCCAGCAGCCCAGTTTTCATGGGGTGCTGAGCAGACAAATCCATCTGAGGATGGGCAGGAAGGAGGCACATGATGTCTTGTCCCCATACCTTTGCCATAGTAGCTCTTTCGGATGCTGTCCAGTGGTTTGCTCTGTTTCTCATCCACCTGGAAGTGCTTTACGTGCTCTCCTGGCAGCCGGCTGGGCTCCCGCACAATTTTTACTTGCTCAGCCTTCAAGGCAATGGCTTGTTCCAGCAGCCCCAGGTTCCCCCTCGTCATCATGTCATACATCTCCGACTCATCGGTCACCGCCGATTTCTGGGAGCGGGTATCGTCATCTTTGTCGTCATCCGACCGGACCTCCACAATGACTGAGTACTCGGGCTTCGGGCTGAACTGCCCTTCACAGTGGCTTTTCTGGGTGTCCTGAGAAGTGTGAGGAGCTTCTTCACAGATCACTTCAGGAGCCATCTCCTCCTCCTCTTCATCCTCCTCCTCTTCTTCTTCTTCATCCTCCTCCTCTTCTTCCTCCTCCTCCTCCTCATCTTCATCTTCCTCCTCCTCCTCCTCATCCTCTTCTTCTCCTTCAGCCTTTTGCAGTTTGCAGGACTCCTCGCAATTCGCATCATCCCGGTGCTCTGGACACAACTCACTGCTACGTTCACTGGTGACCTCAATGACCTCCTCCGCATCCTCCGTCTGGAGGATGATCTCCTTGTCACATTCCCCTTCCACTAACTCCTCTCCCGCATCCTCATGGACCAGATGCACAACATTGGATGGTGGCTTGGAGACCTGCAGCTCAGCTTCAGGCAGCTGCCCTTCGATGGCGAGGGTTTCCTCCGCTATTTGGCCTAGGTTCAGGAGAGAGTTGGCGATTATTTCTTGGTAGCTGCTATAGTTGGCCTTGCTGGGCCCAGATGTACTTGTTGCTGTGTTTTGTCCATAATGGGTTGATTTCACTGGGCTTCTCTCTGAGGGGGGGGAAAGAAGGAAAAGGAGGGGAGAAAAGGAGGAAGGGGAGAAAAGGA